CCGTAAAGCAGAACTGATCGTACAATGGCGCAGTATCCGCGACTTTTCAACTTTAGTGACACGTTACGTATCCGCCACAGGTGTTTTAGTCCTGCGTACGCTGCTCGAGCCTTGGAAATGCGGGAGATTATCTCCTTCGATGCGCTACCGTCGTTGGTCACGCAGCTACCCAAGTACGAGAAACAGTCAATTTCAGCTAAATCCTAACCGTCTAGTTTCAAAACAGAACTCGGTGACACCCAGTCTTGTAGCAACACTTTGAAGGTACAAAGCACATGCGACAGAACTTGCTGACCTGTCAAGTGCTCTTTGTGCATCCTCCATACATTTGAACAAGCTAACGATGTCGTCAGCGAACTCCAAATCGCACAGCTTTTTTCCAGCTGCCCATTCAATACCTACATTTTGGTGACCACTTAGTGTGTTCTCCAGTATTTCTTCTATGACGAAATTGAACAGGAATGGCGAAAGAGGACACCCTTGACGACCGCCGCTGCTAGGATGGTGGTGGCGTAGTGGTTTAGTCGCTGTCACCGGCGTGCTTTGGACCATATGGTCCGAAGTTCGAGCCCCGCCACCCCCACCCGACTTTGGTGGTAGGCAGCTCTGCTGTCGTCCGGCTCAATACCACGCCTAACCTATCGGGGCCTTATGTGGCTCACCACTCCAAATCCCGGGGCTAAGGTTGCCGTTCTCCATCACTGAACAGCAGGTCCTCGTGACTATAGGGTTTATCCCGTCTGCGGTTCATCACACTAAGGTGTGTTATAAAAAGATTGATGATGGTGAATGATGCGGTCATCCGCTGGGGTAAGTGCTCGACCTCCATAGATTACTTTGGTTGGGGCATGTGTTACGCATGCCACCAAAAAGGTTGCCACGGCGCATGACGTTAACCGAGGCAGTTAGTGGGTGGAATAAAGCCAATAGTGATCACAATACAACAAGGTATAAAAATAATCAGGATATTCGGTCACATTGATCGCGTTAGACTCCCTGATGGGGACCTCGAGATCAGTGTAGTCAATTTTAGAGACACTAAGTGATTTAGCTGAGTGCCGTTAACAATGGCTTTCGTGCATCTCCATTACTGTACAACCTTAGCCCACTGCAATTCTGCTTTTTTCT